TTTATTTGAAGGAGTCAGTTTCAGGGTTTCTGTACTCCTATTCCCGCCCTTCTTTTGTTCTCGTGGGCCTTTGAGAACAAAATGATCCTTTGTCCGGGCCGCAAATTCTGCAGCAGTTTCAGGGCGACCTGTCTCTGCAGGTGGTACCTTACGGCGGGGACTCCGATGGACAGCCACACAGGCTTCCATGCCTGCTAAGAGTGGAATAATTGGTTCGTCATCCAGAGGTGTGTCCTCATTTACAACATCAAAATAAGTATATTCACTCTGTGCACGAACAGTTCCTGGTGCGTCATTTGAGTATATTCGAGACAGTGCATCGGCAACAACATTGTCAGTCCCCGGCACATACATGACGGAAAAGTCAAACCCACTGATCTCTCGAACCTCCGCCCTGATAAAGATTTCTGATTGATAAGGTGAATAAGACCTTTGTGGTCGGTTATCCATTTAAACTTAGCTCCTTGAAGGATATCCTGATGCTGAAGCATGGTCTCAATACCTGCGAGCATTTCTATTTCATGAACAGGGTAATTTTGCTGAGCCGAGTTCAGCTTTGCGGAATAGAAAGCAGCGATTTTCGCGGTCTTCCAATCCTCACCTTGACTAATTAAGCCAGTGATCCCAGTCGCACATCCATCAGTCACAAGCCATATTGGGGGTGCTTCTCGTGCATAATTAATTGGTACGCGATGGTGGTCACGCGCTGTTTGGACAAGGCGCTTAACGTCTTCAAAGGCACGCTGCTCTGTATAACCCCACCGAAAGGACACGGTGTCCCCAGTCAAGGCATGAAGTACTGCCATTGGTATCCGAACATTCGGAATATCATCGCCAGATAGCCTACAGACCCCAGGAAACCTCTCAATAAGTCTCGGTTTGTAGGGGTTTTCCATTTGATAACTGAATCGACCTTGTCTGGATCCATCCGGATGCCATCATCCGTGACAATCCGTGCAAGGATCTTGAGCTCAGGTTCAAGAAAATGTAATTTATTCTTGCTAAGGTAGAGCTTCTCATCCTTGAGGACATCAAGGATAGACTTAACATGCTCAATATGGTCATCTAGAGTGTCCGAGTAGACAATAATGTCATCCAGGTAGATATCCATAAATCTACCAATGAAGGTCGAAAAAATATGATTCATTAGCGCCTGATAAGTAGCAGGCGCATTGCAATCACCGATTTGAATGACTTGGCTGACCATATTCCCATCAGGAGTCGTAACAGCGGTTCGCTCTACATGAGCTGGTTCAATATGGATTTGTTCATAGGCATCTTTGCCATCCATTGACAATCGAAAAGGGTGACTTGCCGCCCTTCGGAGTATGCCCTCGGGATCTGGGAGTGGTGAGGTCAATTTATAAGTATTATCATTCCGTGCTCGTAGATCAAACACAGTTCGAAGCGTTGGAGGTTCTCCCGGGGCTCGGGGCTTAGGTATAAGCAACATAGGCACAGTGTTTCGTGAGCTGGTAATTTTCCAGCGACCTGATCTCAAGTAGGCGTCTCATTTCTCGGCCCATTGGCTTCGTAGAGCTTCAGGGCATCGAGACGGACACCACGGGTAGACTTTATTCTCGTCTATGAGGGGGATAGCATGGTTTATTGCTCGAAACGGTGGTAGTTCCGTTTCGTTTGCGGTCTTACATAACGGTTCAGCATACTCCATGAGAAGGCGCCGAGCTGAGTCAAGACCCAAATTTGCTATCTCGATAGCTCGAGAAGCAAGTCGTGCGATGGATTTTCCCTCCATGGGTTGAGCTTCATCACTTCCGATGACAACCCGAGCCGGGTTAAATCCGACGCACACCTGGTGTTGAAATAACCATGGAGTACCTAGAATAATATCATATGAAGACATATTTATTATATCAAAGTAGCGGTCCTCTTTAACACCTTCATAGTCACGATGACTTTCCTTAACGATTTAGAACGCTTTCAATTCCAGATGCGTGTTCTAAGTTCATAAGCCGAGGTGCCGACAGCCAGGCACATCAAAATCTTTCAGATTCAAGGTCCGACCTGTCAAAGCGACCTCGTCTCAAACCTTCGCTTGGAAGGACCCTCCCTACCCCCCTCTCAACTCCAAATCCGTTCCCAAATGCATTCCAGACCGAAAATTCAACTCCGCGGCCATGTCTACCACGCACGCGATCACCGCGCTTTTGTGCTTGGCAGACGCGCTCATTAGATGACGCGTTCTGATCAGGACACTCAGACACGTCCTTGCCCTGTAGACATGCCCTTTCCTCTAGGGCTTTTTTTGATGGTTTACAACGCGTCGTATTGATGGGAAATACACAATAAATGTCACGGAAAGGGGATTTGAGGCTGGTAAGTGAACGGTTAGCATCCCTTGGTTCCTCTTGTTCACCCCCTCAATTTAGCGCTTTTCGTGTAGTTTGAACATCTACGCAGGCGTATTCATGAAAACTCACCATTTATATCACCTACGTCGTGTCTGAGTACCTGATCATAGTGACCCAAGCATCAAAAATGCGCCCTTCCTGGTCCCAGTGGCGTATTCGTGTTTGTCCAAATTCTGCTCAAGGGCGTTGCGAAGAATGGTGAAAAGGTTTAAAAGCAGGTGCGTTTCTCTCCCTTTTCTCCAGCATTCCCTTGCTAACTGACTTGTCGATCCCTCTCTGCGAACATGTCTCACAATACCAACACCAACGCCAGCACCAATGCCAACGCCAAAACCCAGTCGACCCAGCTGGTCCCCCTTCTGGTGGAACTACCAACCCCAGCCAGGCCGGCGCCAACACCCGTCAACCTGTCGGTTGGAATGACCCGACAGCAGGGCCTTACCAGCGCTATGGGGGGATGGACTGGCCGAATCTATCCGTATGTATTTTCACCTTCCTTTATTCACCACAGCTAACAGGTTACTACTTTTTCAGCACCCCCACGCACCACATGCCATGCCGCAGTACCCTCCTCCAGGATATCTCACTCAATATGCACCGGTACGTATGTTACTCTGCGTTGTTTCACAGTTGTGTTGATCTCTCGAATCTAGAACCCTTACTGCCGAACGATGCCCCGCATGGACCATACCACCCTCCGCCCCCCATTGCTGGCCCATCTCGCCAACCCGCGATCGACCCAGCTCTCTTACCCCTCCCTGAGGATGACGATGACGACTTTCCACCCGCTCACAAGCTGCTCCCAAAGATTGCAAAACCTGCCTCAAAGGTGGCCGGCAGCCGCCGCCCTGCTCCCTCAAAGGGCAAGGGTAAACAGAAAGCCGACACCCCAGCGACTGTCAGCAAGCGGAAGGCAGCTGGTCATGCTGACAACGAACCGGCTGCCAAACGTGTTAAACGTGGTGGCCGTATTGCTGGGGCTGTCAACTACAATGACGATGACATCGACCAATTGCTTGACCTTCTTGAAGACCACCTCCCCACCGGTGGATATGGGTGGAACACCGTTGGCGCTGCGTACAATGAGTGGGCAAACAGCTGTGGACGGCCCGAGAGGACGGTTAAGTCCTTAGAGCTGAAATACAAACAGGTGTGGCTCCATTCAATTTGCGATGTAGCAGTGTTTAATCTCTTGTTCAGTATGTTCGTGCCACAAAGCCAACAGGAGATGCA